GTCCTCTTTTGGAAGACCAAACAAAGTAGTTTCGCTTTCACAACGAAACACAGCGTCTTCACGACATGGCTGCAGTGTCAACAACAATACTACAGCGAGACTAAAAGTTACGCCTTCTTTCTTTGCGTGAACATTTGGCCGGCGTTATGCAAATCTTCCCACATAGTGATGTAGACATGTGGGGGCGTGTTAGAACGAGGTGTTTTAGGAAGGTGTGGCTGACTCTTAACTTTTAATAAAAAGAATATCTCTTTGGATTTGAGACTTTAGTCTTTGCAACTTTACAGATCTTCTTTATGCACCAAGAGCTTGTAACACTCCAAAGAGAAAGGAAAACTTGAAATCGCATCATATGACCCCTTTAAACATTGTGTCAATCTTTCCAGCATTTTAAGAAATATTGCCTAATCATTTCAAAAGGTCGACATGTGTGACTATGTGAACATAAATGGAGTAACGGCTCATCCGCACATCGAGAAAGACGGTACGGTCTACAACATCGGAAACTGCATGGGGAAGGGAGCCTCGCTGGCCTACAATATCGTCCGAATCCCACCTAAACAGAAAGGTAAGTGGTCTTTCAGTCACTGAGCAATGTTTAATGAATGCTGGTTAAATGATAACTAATGGGTTTGGTTAAATGGTAACAAACTCTTTCAGACAAATCAGACCCCATTGAGAAATCCAAGGTGGTTGTGCAGTTCCCAAGTGCGGAGAGGTTTAAGCCATCCTATGTGCACAGGTAACTATGCATGCATGTATCTATTTAATTTAATTTTGAAAATATAGTGTCTAAAACATAATTTACTCAAGCGAGGACAGTATATTTTTCTATTTTGTATTTTTTTCTTCATTCTGGCTTCCATACACTACAGCGGAGAGGTTTAAGCCATCCTATGTGCACAGGTAACTATGCATGCATGTATCTATTTAATTTAATTTTGAAAATATAGAGTCTAAAACATAATTTACTCAAGCGAGGACAGTATATTTTTCTATTTTGTATTTTTTTCTTCATTCTGGCTTCCATACACTACACCGGTATCAAATTTTCATGTTGCGTTTCATTGCTAATGCTTTTATCACGGTATACGGTATTATCACGATATTGATATTGAAAAAAAAAGTGTTCTCATAATACAGTATAACAGGTTTAATAACTTTTTAAAAATACACAGATTAAAGTGCAAGAGAATTATAAAGACCAATAGGTATCACTTTACAATATGACCTCATTAGTTAACCTTAGTGAACTAATTAGCATTAACATTCACAATGAGCAATAGCTACATTTTCTACAGATGTTATTAATCTTTGTTAAAAAAAAATACAACTCTTAGTTCATGTTAGCTCATTAAATAACACAGTTGCAACTTTCGATTTCAACAACGTGTTTCAAAACACTTGCAAACAATATCTAGGGCATGTTGTAGTCCAGATTATAATGAAAAAAAATTGAAAATAAATAGCCTATTAAGTTGCACTTAAGTGCATTAAGTGCAAATACACAAATCTGAATGGCTGTTTAAATAATTTAAATATGTTTCAGAAACAGAAAGTAGTGCAGCTGCTTTGTTTCTGGGGTAACGGCTGCATTTCTGCTGTTCAGCGCCATCTGCTGTCAGAGAGTGAAAGTGCGCTTTCGTCCAGAGCGTCTCTCACGAGCTCCGCCGTGCGCTTCTCATCCGCGCTTGTTTACATCAGAGTGCGCACGCATCTTTAACGCAGCATACAGCGGTGTTGTGCATTTTGACCAGTTGATGGGAAAAGTATTCTTAAAATGCATTCAAAATTCTGAATAATTTGTAATAAATAATTATTCTCTGTATTTTTAAGTGACCACGCTAACAATATCGTGCATATTCATTATCGTGATATATCGCATTACCGAATACGGCACATGTCTACAATACACTGAAGAAAAATAAATAAAATGAAACGGTTTTCACTTAGAAATTGCTGGTAAATTTCACAATTAATCACAAAGAAGTAGCAAGTAATAACTAATTAATGTGAAATTATGAAGTAGAAGAAAACGAAATAGTATTTTCTTGTAAAACAGACTCCAATACCTTTGTTTTATTTACAATTTCGAAAAATCATTTTTTCAGTGTAATATTGTAACTAATCATTATAATGATGTTTATGGTGAAACTGTACCTAGTTTTCATAAAATTCACCAAAAATCACACTTTGAAAAATAGTAAATAGTAACTTTTGTGAATAGCAAACAGATCAAAATATTATAACAAAATTATGAGTTTAAAAAAAATAAATAATAAAACATTAAGTATGAGAACATACTGTATGAGTGTTATTTTTTAACATTTCTAACTGTATTAAACAAAACATCATTTCCACAAACTGTGAGTATGCAGTAATTACAACTTATCAAAGGTTATTTTATGGTTTTACTTTGTTAATAATAATATAAAGAATAAAGAAACTTTATTGTATAGCTCATATAAGTAAGTGATCATGTGTAGTCAGCTGCTCGTTGTCACAAAATAAACCTGCAATATTACACACTAATGTGTTTCATTTGGAACTTTTTCCATTAGCGGAGAAAGCATTTTGTGAATATTGTGTTTAAACAATATTACCTTCTTGTTGATGAAAGGTGTGTTGTATTGCTTAAATGCAGTGTGTGCAACATTTGGAGCCAGATCAACAGTCGATGAACCTTGTCCTCTCATGTCTTTCCCTTCCTAGTTTTGGGATGACAGAAAACTACTTTGTCTTTGTTGAGACGCCTGTTAAAATCAACCTGCTGAAGTTCCTGAGCGCCTGGAGTATCCGAGGATCCAACTATATGGACTGCTTTGAATCCGACGAGGAGAAAGGCGTATGTTCCCGTTTCTTCATCCATCTCTTGATAATACATGATGAGTTACTCTACGCCAATGATGCTAATGTTTCATGAGTAGAGCAGTCAATGCCGTATGGGTCTTTTGAACCTTAGATGTGTGTTGTGTTCATTTCTACAGACTTGGATACACATTGCGAGGAAGCATCCAGGAGAATACATCGACTATAAATTCAGAACCGCTGCGATGGGTCTTTTCCATCACATCAACTGCTACGAGGACTCGGGCTTCATTGTTGTTGACCTGTGTGCCTGGAAAGGGTAAGTACTGTACGACACAATGATTAAAGCAACTACATACAGTGGATAGCGTATACGGTGAGCCGATTTCTGAAATTCAAACCAGGCATGTTTCGTAGCTCAGGTGAAATCTCACTTGTGGTTTGGTTTATTTTGTAGCTGTTGTGCATTGCATCTGCTACTATTATTATTAATAATTATAATGATGTGTGTGTCCAAGCTGAATATAGTTTTAATACAGTTCACACTATGAAAAATAGTAACTATTGCAAATAGCAAACAGTGTTATAGCAAAATTGACATAAACAATACATATGAGAATGTTTTTAGAATTTGCTTACTAGATTGAACTGTTATCTGTATACAGTAGTTACAACTTATCAAATTTGATTGTAAGTTTATGCTTTCGGAAATGGATCTATCCCTAGTAAGGCTTATTATTTGGCATTTTAGGCTCAAGTTGGAGCATAAAGTATGTGCTTTCTGCAAATTATTTTATATTATTTATTCATATCAGAGCCTTATTAGAAGTCAGTGTACTTATTAGAAGTGTGATATTTCAAACCGTCAAACCAATTTGCAACTGTAATTTCTGATGACTTTTATCAGGAATATTTAATAAGCATGGGTTAAGTTGTGCATATATTATTATTTATCACCATTGTAATCATTTACATTTAACAACTGGTTTCGGGTGATATCATTTTTATAATAAGGTCATTTTTTTTCAGCTTTGAATTTGTCTACAACTACCTGTGGCTGGCAAACCTCCGAGCAAACTGGGAAGAGGTGAAAAGAAATGCCATGATTGCCCCTCAGCCAGAAGTCAGGCGATACGTGCTTCCTCTGGATCCCTACAAGGTAGAAAAATTAATGATTCATATTTGACCTATACTACAAAATATGTTTGTTTTTTTCTGGCCAAAATATATTTAATGCTAAATGTATGATGAAAACAGTCAGGCTCAAAAAAATTATTTTTTTTTTAAATTTGAAAATATATTTAGTAAAATATATTTCAAAATGTATTTCGGGGAAAAGAAAATAAATTTCCAGTCTTACAGTAGCCTCCACTTAGTCTAAATGCAAAATAGCCTACTAGAGATCAAAACTACTAGAATTCTTAGTTTAATTTATATATATATATATATAAAAAAATTTTTTACTTTGTATAGCATGTTCCTTGCTGATTTTTATTAAATGTCTTTATTTAAATGTGTTCTATGTTCACATGTCTTAAAAACATAAATGCATTTAAAATGCTTTTTAAAATATGTGTCCCTGGAGCACAAAAGCAGTGTTAAGTCGCTGGGGGATATTTGTAGCAATAGCCAACAATACATTGTATGGGTCAAAAATAACAGATTTTTCTTTTATGCTAAAAATCATTAGTGTATTAAGTAAAGATCATGTTCCATGAAGATATTTAGTAAATTTCCTACCGTAAATATATATAAACTTCATTTCTGATTAGTAATATGCATTGCTAAGAACTTCATTTGAACAACTTTAAAGATGATTTTCTCAATATTTAGATTTTTTTGCACCCTCAGATTCCAGATTTTCATATAGTTGTATCTCGACCAAATATTGTTCTATCCTAACAAACCTTACATCAACGGAAAGCTTATTTATTCAGCTTTCCGATGATGTATACATCTCAATTTCGAAAAAATGGACACTTAAGACTGGTTCATGTCACCTGACCCTAACCCTACCCGTCTACTAATACTCTAATAAGAGTTAGTTGATGTTAGTAGTTGCACTTATAGTGAGTATAAATGTATTTTTTTCAATGCTTCACTGCTCAACAGGTGTCTTAATGACGATTGTGGTGTCGCCTGGAGCCCAGAGACCTACATTTTGCCTGATCTTGAATGCTAAGGACCTGTCTGAGATTGCAAGAGCAGAAGTTGACATCATGTCTCCAGTCATCTTCCATGGCATGTATAAACCATAGAACGGCTGGATCTACTGAACATAGAGTCCTCCGGTGTTGATAAAGTTACTGTATACTATACACCATGTTATTGCACATTTCTGATTTTCTTTAAGTTTGTTTTTGCAAGTGGTCTTTGCAAGTGCATAATTATTTTGCCATCATATCCTTGAAAGAATGAAAAATTCCTGATAATGTACTCACCCTCAGGCCATTCGAGTTGTAGGTGATTTTTCTTCTTCTTCAGTAGAAGAGTAAAGAATAGCTGAAACTGTGATCCTTGGTGATTCATAAAATGTAAGTCAACGACTACCGTCACTTTGAGAGTCAAAAACAGCATATACAGGCAACACAAAATATCTGTGGCTCCTGACTATATATATAGAGGTCTTATGAAGTGAAACGATCAGTCTGTGCAACAATTTGAACATTATTTACAACATTACTACCTGTAATGAAAATCCAACTCCATATTTAGATTTGAGAAAAAAAACAAGTAGTTAAAAGTTCAGTGACAGCTAGTGGTGGAAATGGGTACTGCAGTCCAAGTTCAAAATATTGAAGTCGTTTTCCCGCCCTCTCTTCCTCAGACTGGAGACTCACGCAGGTTGCCAGACACGCAACAAGATCCAGTGCAACTGACAGCAGAAGGTGATGAGCCTTACACTGTAATTTGGTTAGTTGATTTAGCCTACCTGCATTTTAATATTCCTCTGGTCATAGAGCGTTTCAGATGGATGCCAAGGCTTTTTTAAGTCGGGTAGAATCTGCAATCTTTGACTCACTTCGTGAATCTTCCATGGATGTAATACGCTGTGTTTTCCATTAACTGGCAATGTAAATTGCAATGGGCGGAGTCACACAGACCAAAACAAAAAACACATTCCGACACGGAACCAGTGTTGCCAAGTCCGCTGTTTTCCCGTGGAATTGGGCTACTTTAACACTGTTAACGCAGGTTGTTTTTCATGTCCGCGGGTTGAAGCAACTCTAATAACATGATAGTTATCCCCTGGAACGTGATTTTTAACCGTGTACCCGTTAGTTTTGAGTAGCGATTGAGTGGGTTTTCTTGAGAAAACCTGGCAACCCTGCACGGAACACTCACTACAAAGTAGAATACATACGTTTTGGTCTCTACGTTCAACAGCAATCATATGTCAACTAAAGTAGTCACATTGAGTACTTTGTTGTTACATATTCTTAGCATGCAATGACTGCTGAACTCATGGACATCAACCAGAGTTTTATGCTCTGCCAGAAATGTACTGCGATCATCTTTAGTTCTGGCTTCATTCGATATATTATTCTTCATATATACTTCATATATTCTCACCTGTGCTGTTGTCTTTTACTCCGATACATTTCCCTGAAGCATATTCGTTACTTACTACAAAATAGTCAGAAGAACACGGACTGCAGGGAAGCAGGTTTGACGAATCAGTGGTCTGGCGTTTGCAAGTTAGACTCATGCTCACGTGCAAACAAGTGCCCACACAACCGCGGATGATTCATTTTCCACTCAAGTCGAGTCTGGGGTGTGCGATACAGCATCTTCTGCGATAATATGGTAAGTGTTGTTGTAATGATGTGCGATCGGACATCATCAAGTAAGCTATATCACCAGATCACGCACAGAGTGCACGCACTGTTTTGCGTCTCTGAGCAAAGGACGGTGTTTACTTATTGAATGAATCAGCTTTTTGAACAAATCGGTTGAATAAATGATTCAGTGATTCACTCATTAACACAGTCAAATGCTTTGTATCTGAATGAATCGGTTGAATCTCAATGACTCACTCATTAACAGTCACTTGCTGTCACCTACTGGCGGTTTTAATTTCACAGTTCGACTATTTTTTATGTTTTAAAATAATTTCAAATTACAGTATTCAACGTTTTGTTAAAAATAAAACATTATTTATTTATCTGTAACTGCAGGTTAAATGCATCCATGTCCCCTCTGAGATAGGCCTACATTAAACTGTGTAAATACATCTAAATGCTATTTCAGATGCAGATTCCAGACATGTTGGAATGAAAGACACTAAGTACCGGATGAAGTGCTTCTTATTCATACCCAAAAATATAAAATGGAATATTATTATATTAATATATATATATTTATTTGCTTCTTTTCCATTTTTGCATTTACTTGTACTTTTACTTTCAATACTTAAGTACATTTAAGATTAAAAAAATACTTTTCGTACTTAAGTACAATAAATATTACATACTTTAAGACTTTTTACTCAAGTAATATTCTAAACGGTGACTTCAACTTCTACCAAAGCCATTTTCTGGTAGGATATCTGTATGATACTTGAGTATGGCTTTCAGGTACACTTTATACACCACTGCATTTAATTCAGTAGCAATGCAACATGTTTTAAATAGTATTGACATATACAGCCATCGATCCCTCTTCTATACCTGCTTTGTTTTCTGTAGCAGTGACTCCAATCCTGGAACTGAAGTACTCATTTTGTATGTCTTCTAATCAAACACACCTGATTCAACTCAAATGTTTGGTAGTAGAGACTCCAAGAACTGATAATGTTGTCTCAGATGAGAGACATTCAAATGCACTTGTCAAAATGCACAGTCACAGACAACAGGGTAAATCAATGGTAAACAGTGTTTTTGTAAAGTTTGTTTGAAAACATTCTTTATTTTGGTGGATATGCTAGATGACACCAGTAGAGCATGAACTGCCTACCCTAGCTTTAATGTACATAGTAAGGTCCTTTATACTACTGAAGTGCATATTGTGCAGTCTTACTGTAATTGTTGTTTTGATAAAATGTTGTATGACTGAGAGTGACCTTTTCAGATTAGAGTTAGCTCATTTATTAGTCATGGTAAGCTCTCACACTGTAAATGGCAAAATTATGGCCTCTGCCTTATGCATAACATTTAATGAAATTGCATTTTTTATTGATCTGTTTGAAGGTTAGTAATACGGTAAGCATTTTTAATAAGTGGTTTTAAATGTTTATCATGCAGCCATGTTTCTTCATGTGTTTTCGGGGAAATCATCTTAAGGTGCAGTTGCTTGAGCACAACAAACAAATATCTCAGTAAAATTTTCACATAAAGTAAATAAAATATTAGATCTAAGACAAATAATAAATAAAAAAGAAATAACTTTTGTTCCACATCTGTCCATTTACTAAAAATTAATTTGTTGATAAATGTCACTTGCTATCTGTACACACATATACGATACATGCACTGCATTTGAATATGTCTTCCAAATGCATTTAGTGAAAATAATCTCAGCATTCATGTTGAATGGACGTAACTCCAAAGTCCAACAGAGGAAGTTTAAAATGTTACATATTTATTATGCTACATATCAGCAGTTAGTATTTGGTTATAATTGGCATTTGAAAATAAATAAATAAAATAATGGAAAGACTACAACAATTAGAAATGCAGCTACAAAAGTGAATCGCATTAAGTTTAGACACTCTGACATTTACAAATGTTTACACTTAGACAATTAGTTTCTTTTTTCTCCATGTAACAATGGAAAGTCATGTGAAAATGCAACCGTGATTTAATGAGAGCGATTAAAGCACAATGGGTGTGAAAACTAACAACTGTGTTGTGGCTTTTCAAAATCCCAGGGGTAAAAGCTTGAGGCGTTGGGATCAGCGCCGAATAACATCTCAGCAACACTTTGCTGAACAGAATCAGACGAACTTGAGGATACCATTTTACTGAGCTCAGAACAGAAATAGTCAATTTCAGACAGGTCGGCGTTTTTCGTCACTTTTCCAGCACCGTGTTGAGCCTCTTCAGCTTCTTGGCTTTCGTTGGACACAAATGAGCCAACATCCATTGTATTAAAATCAAAAATGTTGTTTTTCATTGGGCCAAGCACTTCAGAGTCGGGAAAGCTCATTTCAGAGGTTCCCCACACCGAACCACAGTGAAATACTTGAGAGGAACCACTAGCATTTGACACTATAGAGCAAGGTTTGGATTCTCCTGAAGCATCATATCCTTCTCGGACTGGTTCAATGAGTTTTTCTTCACTACTATAAGCATAACTCTCTTCATTAGATGGACAAGAACCAAAGGGGTAACAATCATCATGTTCGGATCCACTGAGATGATCACTTAGCACGTCACAGGACATCTGCTTCTCCTCCAGATTATTTAAATCTGTGTAAACTGGTTGAGGACTTAAGAGTTGGCATGTACTTATCATATAACCAGACTCACAGTTTTCCGTTTCCGAGTCAAATATCCCTGTATCGACGGATTCGGGGCTAAATGGATCAGGGACGTGGATTTCAGAGTTGCTCTGCTTCCTAGCTCCCAAACCTGGGCCTTGAAGATCAATGCTACACTTGGTTTTGTCAGCAGGTTCTGGACTAAAAGGAGTAGGAGTACCAACTTCATGGTAACCAGAATCTAGTCTTGGAGCTTCATGACAGAATGAGTTAACAGTGTTCATTTCTTCTAAGTCAGATACGCCTTCGACCGGCTCAGCAGGTATGGGACTAAATGGGTCAAAATACTGGAGTTCAAGTTTACTCATGGCCAAGCCTTCAGAGGAAGAAGGTTTGTGTGGTGAACTGCTAGATTCAGGGCTGAGTTGTTTATTGGCATAAAACTGGTCAGTAGCTGATGTTTCTGTGTTACTAAACAGACAAAAGACGTCTTGAGCTGTAGAATTTGGCGGATTGCTTTCCGTGTCCAGGATGGGTGAATCAGGAACAGGTTCAGCTACATCTGGATTTGCCGTCCATTGGTCATTCCACTCTGAATCAAGCACACTTTGGCAAGCATTTGAATCATTAAATGTAAGACATGGGATATCTAAAACCACCTTTTCAGAATCAGGCACTAATATTTCATCATGTTTAGCGATTTCCACCTCCACTTCGTTCTCGTCGTTAGTGATCTGGTTGCGTTGTTCTGTGTCTTCAGGCTTTGGACTGGAGCATTCAAATTCATCTGCATCATTAAATTCAGGGCTCAAAGAGGTGTCCTGCCAATTAATTTGGCAATTGGACTCCTCTTTCTTTACATAATTGTGTTCAGGACAAACTGGACTTTGATTATGTAGTTCAGGGCTACCGGGATCTAATCTCACAGTGAAGAAGAACATATCTCCATATTTGTAGTCGTATTCGTCTAAAGCAGAAGGTTGAGAAGGAGAAATGGAAGGAGAGCTACTGTTTATATCATGCAACTGTTCACACAGAGGACCTGCACTATCATCTGGAGATAAACTCTCAGTTTTTATGAGTTCTTTGTCATTCGCAGCATTTAGTTCAGAAGTGGTAATATGATGTTCAAAGGTCTTCTGGAAATCGCCTGGGAGAGGATCAGGGTCACATGGACTTAGAGGAAACCCTGTATAGGACCCTGCGATGATGCTCTGCAGACCACACAGAGAGTTAGCTCTTTTAATTAAACCGGATCCAGCCTGTACGTCAACCCTGTCCTCCTCCTCCTCTTCAGCGAATACATTGGAATCGGCATCGAAGGAATTAAACACTGTAGAACTGTGACTAGAGTCTGATTCATGGACACACTCGTCATTGAACTGAGGACTAACAGCTTCAACGGATAGATCTGGTTGCACAGCATCATGATTTCGGTCTTGTGTGGCGTTTGTCCCAAGCTCAGACCCATTATCGCTGCAAGATTTGAGACTCCTGCTTTCAGTGGACATGGACACACCGCTGTCACGCTTTCCAGTGGACTGTGTGCTATCAGTATCTGGTGGCAAGTTGACGGGAGTGTTAAAAGTACCGTAGTCTTTAACGACGGATTGGTGATAGTGTATAGTTTCTGGAAGACTGTTCTCTGCAGGGATGAAGTCATCCTGACAATACTTTTCTTCTGACATGTTAACCAAGAGAGAGTCAGAGGCGAAAGGGTCTGTGCCTTTAAACGGGTCCCTGGGTAATTGCTCTGAGAGAAAACAGCACCATATTAGTCACTGTCTTATGGATTGATTTGCTCTTTTCCTCTGTGCATTTCCGTGCTACAAACGTATGCATATTTATCAGCAGCTAAGGTTTTTTTAACTTTTCAGTAACAAGCCATATTTTTCGATAAGCAGCTGTCTAGTGTGACAAACTTAGGTAGTGATCAAACATGCTCTCATGCAGATATTCCTGTGCAGAATTGGGCTTTTCACATTTAGGCCCAGATTTACTAAACAAGGCAAATTAATGTGAGAACGCAATCCCATAAAAGCACTCATGCGAGTGGAAAGTTTTGTGGTTGCTCTACTGACAATGTGCAATTTAAAAAATACAGCCTGATCAAAATCCATAATGACCAATGCAATCCACCAAGAGCCGGGTCGCAATCAAGCAGAGCTGATGATAATCAGGTAATTACTAAAAACACAGGTGCAAATTGGGTTAAGACATGCTTTTCTGGAGAGCATTAAATAGTAGCTCAAATACCAGTAAACTGACTACCGTAAATTAAATCACATTACATGATTCGGTTAAAAAACTCCTCCCATAAATGTTTGCATCTAAAAGGGAAACTCCTACAAATGCATATGCAATAAGTTTATTCTGAAAAATACTTGTCCACGGATTTTAAGTGCTAATGTTTCACAGAGTCTTTTGTAAATCCTGACAGTAATTTTTTACGCTAAAAGAAGGTTTGCGTTGGAACAATATGTTAGTGAACCCGGCCCTAAAATTGTTCAGCTTTGTCATTGTAAGCCATGGGTTAACAGAATTCTGGTTATTTTTCCATGTTTCACACTGTTCAAATGATTCCCTAATCTTCAGGTTTCATAGTTTCACACTAAACCACATGTTAACCCTGGGTTTTATTTGGATATCTGCAATATCTTTTATTGGACAAACACAGCATGCAACCTGTTGAAATAATGGGAGGATTTCACAACCCAAGGTTTTAACGGTTCTAACTCCCTAATGTTAAATTGTTACCCTATTTTATAAAAAAATTGTGTAGTGCTCTCACCCTAATGTATAGTGACTATAGTTCTGTAACTGTGCTTAAATTAGTAGCTGGTAGCATTGGAAGTTAGTTTTAAAGTTGTGCATTGATGCAGTTTTAGTTATAGTTTGAAAAAACTTTGTATCAAGAATGTAATTATACATCATTACAGGTAAGGTTTAAAACAGAAAGTTACTAACCTGTTACGTCAACCTTTGGAAAGTGGTCCTCTCCAAATACATCACCTGGAAATTAGTGAAAAATAAGTTGAGTAACATGAAAAAGTATGAACACGATCATGCCATAACAATCACTCGCCATCAGTGAAGGGGTTTGGATGGAAGAAGTCAAACTGTTTGTTTGTCGTCTGACTGGGATGAATAATCTCAAAGTCCTCCTTCTCCATGTCAGAAGAGTCAGACTGTTTGAAGAGAGAAAACATACGTTATTGAGTGTCCAGATTTTGCAGGAAACTCAACGCTGCATAACGAAACAATGGGAACACATCAGTGGTCATGAGGTCCGAAGCCCAGTGTGTGACGCTCACACGGGTTGCCAGATGTAACAAAGAATGAGACTGACAATGTTAGGCAATGAGCTTTAAACCATAAACTTATGAGTTGTATTATCCGTGTTTCCTCTGGTCAAAGAGCGTTTCAGATGGATACTGAGGCTTTTTAGGTTCGGTGGAATCTGCGATCTCTGGCTCGGTTCATTTGCTGACTTCCATGGCTACAAAATGCAGTGTTTTACGGCAACTGGCAACCTGGGGTGTTGCAATACTATTGGGAATCTGGCAGTGGGTGGAGTCACACAGACCAAAACAAAAACAGACATTTAGATACAGAACACACATTTCAAAAGTAGAATAACTGGCAGTAGCCATGTTTTTTTGGAGAAACAAGTATATGAACTTAGCCTGTTTGTAGTCCTAAATAACTGGTGTTTTACGATAAAAAAAAATACATGTTTTACGGCAACTGGCAACCTGGGGTGTTGCAATACTATTGGGAATCTGGTAGTGGGCGGAGTCACACAGACCAAAACAAAAACAGACATTTAGACACAGAACACACATATCAAAAGTAGAATAACTGGCAGTAGCCATGTTTTTTTGGAGAAACAAGTATATGAACTTAGCCTGTTTGTAGTCCTAAATAACTGGTGTTTTACGATAAAAAAAAATACAAACAGCACCTAAGCATACAATACAATTTTTAGGCAATCAACCGAACTGAAGCACTCTAAAGGAGTTCAGAGTTATTTAAATAGCTGTACGTAAAAATGACTGAACACATCTTACAGGTACATGCTCAGTCATACTGTATCACGGTGCATGTGTGTCCTACCTGCGGAGTGGTTGATCTGAACATAACATCCTCCTCTTTGACCTCTGTCAGTGTGATCTCAGTGAAAGACGATGAGCCACTGCTCTTCTGGAATCAGTAGCACATCAACAAACTAGTAACTAGTAGCAAATGACACATTCACATGAATGCTAATGTTCATACCAAGTTCTCCATTGAACACTGCATTTTATTGAGCTCCTCTACAGTGTTCTCTTGCTCGACATCATTCACTTCCTCTCTTTCCGGTTTGGACTTGCTCTTCTCACTGTAGACATGATTACACTCGCTTTCTACATCATCCATGTGTTCTTCCAACGCCTGATCCAAACCGACACAAGGAGCTTCTTCTGTCATCTCAGCCACTGAACTTTCACCGGTTATGAGGCCAGCAACCAGCTCAGCCAGCTTCTTTTTAACCTAGTCAAAAAAGGAAATTAAAAAACACAACATGATGTTTACAGAGTGTCAACAAGTTTGCAGATAGAGACAGTATTTTTGATGGGTCAATCAATCAGAAGTTGCTTGACCATTTTTAACATAACGGTGATTACCTTGACATATTTGCATTGCAAATCCACTATTTCTGTACATTATTTTACTTGTTTTCACCTCTTATGTCATGGAATGCAAATTTTGTAACAAAAAACTGACCTCTAAAGCACATTAAAAGCTATGCATAGGGTTAATTCAGCATAATTGGTACATTTTCCCCAGTCATCTCAATGGTAAAAAGGTGTCCCAATTGATCTGAATTGATCTTAAAACTAAGGTTCACATGTAATGATCAAGATCGCGGAAAGTTCCACTTAGGAGTCTCAGTCTTAATTTTTTGGGGGTACCTGGGTAAATATAGTGTAAAGGTTTGAAGCATCTGGAATGAGAAAGAATGGATGTGATTTCTTTTTAATTCCCCTCATTTTGGGTTGATTATATCTGATGGGGGGACCAGATAGGAAACTGTGATTTTTTTCTGCCCATATGGCAACAGTTGCTGTACAATTTGAGTTTGAGCTTTCACTGGTCACACAGCTACCATATTTGACAGTAATTGTTACGATTGACATACAACAGCTTTTATTTGTCAGTGAGGTCTAAACCAGGTGCTGGTGACCACTCTGATGTAAAAGTTATGTTATTGTAAGATAATTATTATCTTTCTTACCTTATTAAATAAATCCGAGGTTATCACACGTGACTAAGAATGTTACATAAAAGTAACAATAAAAACATGTTTTTTAAAAATATCTTACATCTTACAATAGCAAACTAGCTGTTGCTCTCCAAATTGGCATCAAGAATTGTGACCTTTTTACCGGTATTAAAAATAAACTACTGAAATGTTGGTATTGTGACATTTCATGCACATTTTTTATTTGTATGAAGTTTTTATGGATTTCCACGGATTCCCACTCACTCCTAAAGACTATGCTTTCATTTTGGATCCACAGGGATGTAGTATAGCTAGACTTTTTATAAAACTAACCAAAAAGATCAAATAAAATTTGTTAAACCGTATTCCAAATTAATCAATTAGTGCATTCATTAATTATGGAAAGTCAATATTTGCCATCTAAAACCACTTTTAACCTTTTTGAAATTGGTTTCACCTATTTTAATCGGATAATAAAATAATAACTAGTTACTAATTAGAAGCCAATGGAATGTTTGCACTTTTAATTTAAAGCTTTCACCTCCTCACAAGATCAGAAATATTACCAAACATTTTGGGTGAACTGGTCCCAAAAATATGCAAGGAGAAAAAGAGGAAGGTGACTGAACTGTGACCTGTATAATCTCCTCGATTAAGTCCTGCAGCGGAGTGACCCGTAGATGCAGGCTTTCTGCGTGTGCTTTAGCGTAAGCCACTTCCCGCTGGAGCTGCAGGAGATCTTCGGCCGCGGCACACAGCTCAACATCATACTGCTGCGCGGTCTGCTCCAGCTCCTGCTGCTCCTCCTGCAGCGACTGCAGCTGCACACAAACACACACACAGACGGCATCGCACAAATATTAGGCTATATGCTGTTTTCGCTCTGGTGCACAGAGTAAGATACACCCTACAGGGTTCCTACGGGGTTCGGAAAGGTATGGAATTTTATTTAAGTATTTTCCAGGTATACAGATTTTTATGTGTGCATTTTAGGACAATGCACACTGAGCCAAATATTGTGCCATCAGCCCATTTTGCGATGTGTTTTCTTGGCCTCCACAAAGTATGCATTAAAGAGACCTAAGGCCTTGAAATATGGCATACTGCCCTAACAAAAGCCAAATTTTAAATACTTTTTTTACAGTACCTGTCTTTTTTATAAACCCTTGAACTTGGCACATTTTATGCCATCAGCCCATTTCGTGTCATGGTTTCTGTGCCACCACAGAGGATGTGTTAAGTTGGACAGTAGGCCTTGATATTAGAGGTACTACCGTCAGAAAAGCCAAATTTTGAGCAAATAGATATGTTCATTCATGTGCATCCATGCTCTTGTTTTATTCATAGTAAGATGGCAGGGATGCACAAAGGAAGTAGGTTATATAAAGCTAGAAATTGTAATGCGTAAGCATGCAAAAAATTCCCATACGCATGTGAATAGTTTCTCGAGGGCACAAAAAAGTTTATTGTGTAGGCTACATGTTTTTTAGGGGTTTCAAGAAAATCAATGGAAAAAATTATTTACAGATGACTGTACTATATACCAGTTAAAACAGAAAATAATGCTCTATGAACCATTTATGTTAAATATGGTAAAGATAAAAAAATAAATTAACACATCCAGCTTTATTACCTTTGCAAGATTGTTATAAGTTCAATCAGTCTTTCTTTTTTAAATGTATATATTTAGCATCAAACAAATATGGTAGTACTTGTTCACAGTAATAAAAAAAAAACGAATTAAATCTTAAATCTTAAAAGATTAAAAGTGATTGCGTAACTGCCCAGTAGTAGGCGATATGCATCACGAATATAAACAAAATTAAACTGTTAAACCATTAAATAAAAGAAGTATGGCATGCATGGTGAATCTTGGATTTGGCGTTCTGTTGAGAATGTCTTTGTGAAGATTTACTAACATTCAAAGCAGTGAGAGCCTCTTTTAACTGTCTGTTTGCTCCAATTTGGCCATTATCTGGTCTTATCTGAAACACTACGATTCTTATTTGGCTTTTTTCGCTTTTTTTTAGACAGCGTTTCGAGTGTGGACAGGTTGCGAAGTGGGTACAACTGATGCATGAGTCTGAATCCAATAAGCTTGCCATGTAAGTGAAAATCACTCTGATTGTACTGTAGTTTTGCATCTACAGTAGATACAACAATGTTGTTAGTCCGTTCAAAAAACAGTATCTCCTTCCTTTTATGGCTCCATCAATGCTGTCGTCTGCTTCAAGTACCAAGCAACTGCAGATCTCATCTACTTCCGTTCTGAGTAATTGATATGTCGACTAATGGCTTTCTAGGGAATATGGGGGATGTGTGTCGGCTTCCACAAAAACCACTGAAGACACAAAGCTCTTTCAACTGGCAATTATCTTACATGGCATGCAGCTGCGTTATGACGATCATGATGCACAACCACTGACTCTGTGATGAAGCCTACTAGAATGCAGTCTGATGTCCCTAAAATACAAGATATGAAGGTAAAAATTTCCTTCTATCCATTTTTATTTGATATGTATATCAAATTATACATTTTAGCAATATCACACGAGCAGGAGTGCTTTTTCCTGAATATCTGCACAGTTGCAAATGTGATACTGATTTTATGCAAGTTAATATTGTGTTACATTTTAAACTCAGTATTGTCAGTTTTTGCTCAAATTCGCCAGGAAAATAGTTCAATCGAAGCCACAGCATAACTGTTGTGTATCTCTGAGAACGAAAACTTGATTTTGTGACTCCTGTATAAACCCAGTCACTTGCTTCGTTTCTAAATAAATCCGCTGTTTGAAAGAATCGGTTGAATGAATGACTCACTCATCAAGACTTGCTGCCACCTACTGGCAGTTTCATATTCAAATCTATTAATTCCCATTTAAAACTGATTGATTTAAAAGCATTATTTATGCAATTCTAATTGGAATGTAAATGCACTCATGCCACCTCTGAAGAGTCTGTGCAAATATATCTAAACACCACTTCAAATTATTTTGTAAATAATGTTATGGGCATGTTGTGGTATTAAAACTTTGTGTAGTTCTTGTCACAATACTGCTGTTAGGGAGACGAAGATTAGAACAACAAAACCCACACGATGAAGAGGGACGGACACACACACACACACACACACACACACACACACACACACACAGACAGACAGGATAACATACAACAATTCTGAACAAAGGAGAAAAACAAGAGGCCAACTAATATACACAGGATAATGAGGGTGATAAACTAGACACAGGTGAGGTAAGCTAATGAAGATTAGACGAGAACAGGAACATGACCAAATAAGGGCACAGAGGAACTAAATTAATCAAGGAGAGACAGAAACTGGGAACCAACTTGACACTATTTAGCTTCCACCATGTGAGTTCATTGTTTAGGCTTGTTCAGCTTTTCAGCTCATTTCTGTAACATTCTGCACTTTAGCATAATATGAACAGTGCATTGATTAAGTTATTCACCTGTGAACACGCTGCTGTTTCCTGCTGAATGCAGTGCTGTAATGCTGTTTGTAAGCTATTAGAGACCCACCACATTTAGAAAAGTGTACAATCAAGTATCAGTCAATCTTATAGCTTAAGCAAACTTGGAATCTCTGTAACAGAGGAAACATTACCATAAAAGGCACAGACTGAGCAGCTCTGTCAACTAATTTCTTGGCATTTCAAGACTAGGCTGCTGCAGTGCTCTTTTGGCTGGCCGTCCCGCCAGCATGACTTTGTCGATGATTCAGAACGCAGCCTTGTATTTAATCAGACAAAGAGAGCTGGCGACCGAATCCAAGGCTTTGACACTGGCAATAGAAATGTATCACCCTTTGATTAACCTGGAACAACAGCAGAATTCCTTCTGCAGAAATCTTTGGTATCTTAAGCTTGCTTACCACTTCCCTCTCCTGTTTCTGGAGGTCATAGATGATCTTCAGTTCTTCCTTCAGCTGTGTCTTCCTGTCCTCCAGCATCTCCACGGTCTCCTGCGTGTTACGGCGCAAGGCCTTGACCGTCTGAAGGGTCTCCTGTTCCATGTGCACCTCATCCTGCAGACCCTGAGGATACATTCATAAGCATATGTGTGACCCTGGACCACAAAACCAGTCATGAGCCTTTTTTTATTTTTTTATTTATACATGATCTTAAATAAGCTTTCCATTGATGTATGGTTTGTTATGATAGGACGATATTTGGCAATATATACATCTATTTGAAAATCTGGAATCTGAGGGTGCAAAAAAATGCAAATATTGAGAAAATCACCTTTAAAGTTGTCCAAATGAAGTTCTTAGCAATGCATATTACTAATCAAAAATTAAGTTTTAATATATCTATGATAGGAAATTTACAAAATATCTTCATGGAACATGATCTTTACTTAATATCCTAATGATTTTTGGCATAAAAGAGAAATGTATAATTTTGAGCCATACAATGTATTGTTGGCTATTGCTACAAATATCCCCCAGCGACTTAACACTGCTTTTGTGGTCAACTTGATGTCCTTGCAGCTCTTTGCAAACTTAAATCAAATTGAACGGTTACATTTTATTTTAGGGTATGTGTACTTGCAGTGTATTACCTAAGAAAGTACTGGTGATATAAGGTAAGTACATGGAGTAGGGTTAGGTTCAGAGTAAGTACTTAGTTACTGTAATGACTATAAGTACATAGTATGTACATGAGGAACAGGACTGTAAAATAAAGTGCTACCAATTGAACTAAAACTTGGATGCACCCAGAGTCTTGCTCAAAACGAGCTGATATGTTTCCTCGTCAGAACTGGCTGAAAAAGTGCTGAGCAAACCAGTCTGAGCTGTTGTGCAACCCATTTGAATTTGGCACAATTGTATTACAAGTGGACTGTGTTCTGCTGCTTTAAATGCAATTTTAAAAGTTTTTGCTGCTTAATATTTTTGGGAACCTGAGATTTCAGAATTTTTTGATGAATAAAAAGTTTAAAAGAACAGCATTTATTAAAAATAGAACAAATACAAATACACGACACGAAAAAAAGTTTGAGGTCAGTATGAGCTGTGATAAATATAAATTGAGAATACTTGTATGTTTTGCTCTACAATGTAAATACATTTGTCTTTTTGTCTGATTTTCATTCACCTTTTTGCTTCAAATCAAAGTTTGTGATTCTCCTTGTAGCTGGTTGGGTTGGTTAATGGCTTATAATGCTTAAAGAGTTTTTAAAAATTGCGATGGGAAAAATTAATGGAAAAAGTTCAGAATCAGCGCCGCTGAAAAGGTGTTGGGTACAAATAGACATGTTATAGATTTATATAGCTGATTTATATGAGAATCTGTACAATTATAAAAAAAATTAGACTTCTTGTTAATGATTTTCAGTTTTGTTCTAGGTAATTAAATCAAGAGCTCTTCAATAACAGCAAGAGTATGGTATTTGTGGCAAAAAGCACCCTTGTTGTTGGGGCTAAAGGTCCCCATCTGAACTCAGTAGCTTGTTAGAATAATTGGCATGACAATAAATATAGATGGCTGACAGCAAGGTTCTGTTCAAATGTTTAAAAGACCTTAGTCAGTATAGCAGCATATTACATTTTTTACAGGAATGAAAGCAAGGCTGTGAGGGACTGAAGTACAGTGTGTGTCCCTCACAGCCTTGTTTTCATCCGTGTTAAAGGGATAGTTCACCCAAAAATGAAAATTCTGTTATTAATTACTCACCTTCATGTCGTTCCAAACCCGTAAGACCTTCGTTCATCTTCAGAACACAAATTAAGATATTTTTGATGCATTCCGAGAGCTCTCTGACCCTCCATAGACAGCAATTCTGGTCAGCTGTGGCAAGCGGATACGATGTTTTCGTTCAAATCAAAGCGTAAATAAATGTAGAAAACGTATCCGCGTGACGCAGCTGACCAGAACAGCATAAGCTGTTTACGTATATTCTCCAAAATGGCACCAGGGTGACGCGGAGGAGACGAATTGTTGAATAAAGTCGTTATTTTTTTTTTCTTTTGCGCCCAAAAAGTATTCTCGTAGCTTCATAAAATTACGGTTGAACCCCTGATGTCACATGAATTATTTTACCGGTCTCCTTGCTACGTCTCTGGACGTTGATCGTGTTACTTACATTGCTGTCTATGGGAGGGTCAGAGAGCTCTCGGATTTCATCAAAAATATCTTCAATTTTGTTCCGAAGATGAACGAAGGTGAAACGGGTTTGGAACGACATGAGGGTGAGTAATTAATGACAGAATTTTCATCTTTGGGTGAACTATCCCTTTAAATTCTGTATGGCATCTGTGTTGAGATAATGGGCATATGTCTTAGACATAATCATAATATTTTTAAAGAAACCATAATTTTTGTTTTGTATTTAGTGATAGTACTATAATGCCATTTTAAATTAGGGGATCTCTGTTAGACAATGTAAGAAACTTCCAGAACCTTTAATTGTTTAAATACATTTTTTTCGTAGGCCTACTTTAAAAAATGTATTCTTTGTCCGGGTCTTTTTCATCTATATTAACTGACATCTTCCTCAAAACATATTTTAGGTAAATTATTATTATATTTTTTTTTTTACCCCAAGTCAAGAGCAAACTGCACTCTTACCTCGTGATTTTTTTGAACAATTCATGCACTATGGGAGGCGTACAAAAGCTCATTTTCTAGGTGCCTTTAGCCCCGTTGTACCATGCAATTACTTTTATTAACTCTATGCTATCACACATGTTGCTGATCTCCAACACAACACACAAGCGCGCGCGTTTTGACAAACCATATCACGAAAAATAAGGACATGTCACACAAAACGCGATGCAACGCGACGTTTTGGTTTGATTGAAAAAAATAAAATAAAATATGCTACTATGGCGCTAATCGGTGAGGCCAGTTTTTCAGTTTCTGTGCATAGAAACATGCGTAGAAAATAACAGTACCTTGATTTCATTCTCATCTGAAGTGTTGACCTGAGCCTCAAGCTCCGTGTCTCTGAAACAGCATAAAACCAAAAGAAAATCTATCACGTACAGGCTATATCTCAAAATGATGGAAACCGAGATGCCAATACTTCTGCAAGATTTCAGCACGATTCTCTCAGTTAAGCGCATGCAAACACGAGATTGCTGCAGAAATGTGTAAATGATTGAATGAGTGAAATTATGCAACCCATGTGTCAGATGATGAATCACAGCTCTGCAGCGCATGCAAATATTACGGCATTGCATCAGTGCATGAATCACCTCGACACGAAAGGTGATGATGATTTCTGAAGGATAAATCGCATTATGGCATGCAGCTGCTTCGCTGCGTAAAGACAAGGCTGCGCGCGCGTTTGTGTACCTGGCAGCGGCTGCAGCGCGAGCTCGTGCCGGCCGCAGACAGTCCAGAATAAAGCGCAGCATATTCATGCGTGACACACAGTTAACGCACAGCCTTCAGAATAATGTCCCACTCTCTGTGAAATGCATGCTGTCAAATAAAGGTGCGCAAAAGAGACGTTCTCCTCGAGTCGCTCTGCGCTCTCCTTCGGCTGCGGCAATCACGTGATCACGGACACTGAAGCAGAACCGGCCCCACGGTAGCTACTCGAGGAAGAACCCGGCTCAACACACCGCCAGTGGTCACTAACATAGCCTACGTATGCATAAGCCTATGTGCGCTTGCAGCTGGAAAATTCCCTAATGCCCAAAAATGCAATCAGTCACCGAGATAATGTTGAGGTATACCTATGATGAAAATTACAGGCCTCTCTCATCTTTTTAAGTGGGAGAACTTGCACAATTGGTGGCTGACTAAATACTTTTTTGCCCCACTGTATATAATATTTTAAAGAGACAGATATTGTCTTCTCATTTTAAATGGGTAGCAGTTATGCAGTCATGGTAGCTGACAAATATGTATTCATTATCATAGGATATATAACAATTAAGATTTTTTTTATTAGAATAGTGTTTTTTGTGTGTGTGTGTGGTTTTTCTTGGTTTTGCAAAGATACAGAAACTGACTCATAATCACTGCTTTCTGTTCACTGCTTTTGCCATCCGTGCCAAAGTCTCTCAAATACAGCTGAAAAGCCTGTTTGAAGCGTTTTGAAGTCATTGGTCACGTATTGCTTGTCAACTTCAGTTCATCTGGAGGTGTAACTGCATCCATGTCGGTGATAAATCTGTGTAATTGCTATCCAAGAATAAATGCAGATGATAGCTTCGTCTAAGCTTCTTAAGACTATTATGATTTATATTTTAAAAATAAAACTTATAGTAAACTATTTCAAATCAAGATGGAATGGAAAAACACTTGCATGACATTGTTCTTTATTTCATATTTTCTGCTCTGGAAGCATCACATCGATACAGTTGTTTTGATCTGACAGTTTAATTTAACCACTGTACCTCAGTGATACAACACAATAAGCTGAAAGTCTTCCTTAAAGATTATTTGAACTAAAGGATATTTACTGTAGACTGTTAGTTCACCAAAAACAGCTCATCAACAGCAGTAATAAAAGAAGTCCAATCTGGGTGATTTTGATCCATATAAAAATTCTGAAAATCGAAATCTTCACAAATATTCTGATGCCATTTGTGCAGGAGTTCATCGAATGATGATCATTATACAACCGTCATGTGCTGGTAAACAATCACATATTTACATTAATTATTCATATAACAGATGCTTTTATCCAAGTAACTTACAAATGAGCAAAAAAAAACAACAACGTCACACTTCATAAAAATAATACATGCAGTGCAACAATGCCAAACCAGAGAAGCACACAGCTAAGAAGCGATGTAAATGCAAAACAGAAGAGAGAGAGGGGGAAAAAAAAAGATTTTAAAATGTATATATATTTTTGTAATTTTATATATTTTAGTTTTGCTGCTAAAGATGAGCATTTATTTATGGTTATGGAGGTGTGTGTGATAACTCAGAAGGTTTGTCGTTGAAGGCTCAAAAATCATTCCACCCCAGTGGGAGTGTACATTTTCTAGTAAGAGACATTAACTCGTGCGGTTCACTGACCCCAGAGAGCCTGTTAGACGGTGTTGATCCAGAATCAGTCCAGAATGCAAGCGACAGAGTCTTGAATTTGTTAAGGGAAGCTATGGATATCCAACGTAGAGGAACCACTGCTGAGGCTTAATTGTAAGGAAGGGCTTGAATAAAATCCTTATAGGTCAAGAGCAAGTGGAGGTGGATTCGCAGATGTGGGATGGAATCATCAATCTTAGGTCGATTATGACTGCTTACTAGGGATGCACCGATGTATCGGCCAATAATCGGTATCGGTAAACAAAACCCTTCTGCGCAATGGCCAATCCAAAAAAAACAGCCATGATCAGGGCTAATTATATGCTGTCAAACAAAAGGGCACAGAAAAACCCGTCAGACTGCAAATGCCTCTAATGTAGAATATAGGGCTGTCGATAAAAAACACAATCCTATTTAAAAAATAGCGTTGTTAACACTAGTCCTATTTGGCCCTATGAATCACCCATAGTTCAAGTTCAATGTTGCCATGTCCGTGTTTTTTCTTTCAAATATTATTTATTTATTATCTCATAAGAAACAATGTCTTAGCTCTCAAACAGTGTCTATTGTATTGCAAAATTGAAACATTAAATACAGTTTTTGTTTCAGTTAAAGCGGCAGTGCGGAGCGTGAGTCTCTTCCACTTTAATTCAAGTTACAGCGCAAAATAAACATGAATGAACATCAGAAGATAAAGTACAACTTACTGAAATGTGTCATGTCTATGTAATCGCTCAATCAGTGTTTCAACTGCGGAAATATGACAATAAAACAGCTTGTGAACAATGTCACTTAATGCTGCATTCATGGCCGTAGCCAGAGTTTGAAAATTAGTCAGGTCTGGGGTGGGGTTAAGCTAATAAACCCTACAAATACAGCTCATTATATAAACACTTTAAAAGAGACGGAGATGTAGATGTTTGTGAAAGATGTTTTCTCTGTTTTGGAGGGATGAGCACTGTTAAATTATGTCATATTTATTGTGTAAAAATTTGAGAATGTTTTACTATAGGTTAGGGGTAGATCATTTTATCAGATGTTTATTAATCATGCAACAGTAAACTACTATACTGTGTACTTAAATACTTTACTGAATGAAATAGACTTCTTCATGGCTAGTGTTTGCTTCTATTTCATTTCATTATGTAACTTACTTGTTCTACAGATCTGTGTGTACTAGTGTTAAATGCTACTGTTTTTGACAAAGTTGATAACATTTCTGACAGATAATTTCATGATATTTTTTGTGTTTGTCTAACCGAATGTGCTATCCTGTCAGCAATAGCCTGTCCGTGGGCTTTTTTGATAACTGTCAGTTTAAGTGCCGAAGATGCAACGTTGCCAGATATTGCTATAAAAACAAATAAAAACAAAAATAATAATAAACCGAAATTATTTCAAATCCTTTGCAAATAAGATAAGATAAAGATATCGCTGACCCTAAACTGAAACTTCCCACTTTATTAACTTTCTAAAGTGTCAAATTAAGTGGAAAATAATTTTCTCTGAAGACTCGTTCACTCTGCCAGCGTCTTGCAGCGATCATTTTCATACCGCGGACGCTAAACATTCTTGCAAACTGTTAAACTGAATTATAAACGCAGACACTCATATGAGGAGTTTTAATTAGCAAACTAGTCATTCAGAGAACAAATTTTTGTTTTGAACGTGAACAATGTACCGAGGTCCGGACCTCAAAGCTGGCTACGGGCCTCGCTGCATTTACCACAATTCGTTAGTTAGCTATAAAAAACAGATGGAGCCTATTTATTGTTAATTATGTATGTCGGAATAAATCTGTCATGAAGACAAGTTTTTTTTTTTTTTTTCGAAAAATACCTTATGTGCAACTGGAGCAAGTGGAGGTGGATTCGCAGATGTGGGATGGAATCATCAATCTTAGGTCGATTATGACTGCTTACTAGGGATGCACCGATGTATCGGCCAATAATCGGTATCGGTAAACAAAACCCTTCTGCGCAATGGCCAATCCAAAAAAAACAGCCATGATCAGGGCTAATTATATGCTGTCAAACAAAAGGGCACAGAAAAACCCGTCAGACTGCAAATGCCTCTAATGTAGAATATAGGGCTGTCGATAAAAAACACAATCCTATTTAAAAAATAGCGTTGTTAACACTAGTCCTATTTGGCCCTATGAATCACCCATAGTTCAAGTTCAATGTTGCCATGTCCGTGTTTTTTCTTTCAAATATTATTTATTTATTATCTCATAAGAAACAATGTCTTAGCTCTCAAACAGTGTCTATTGTATTGCAAAATTGAAACATTAAATACAGTTTTTGTTTCAGTTAAAGCGGCAGTGCGGAGCGTGAGTCTCTTCCACTTTAATTCAAGTTACAGCGCAAAATAAACATGAATGAACATCAGAAGATAAAGTACAACTTACTGAAATGTGTCATGTCTATGTAATCGCTCAATCAGTGTTTCAACTGCGGAAATATGACAATAAAACAGCTTGTGAACAATGTCACTTAATGCTGCATTCATGGCCGTAGCCAGAGTTTGAAAATTAGTCAGGTCTGGGGTGGGGTTAAGCTAATAAACCCTACAAATACAGCTCATTATATAAACACTTTAAAAGAGACGGAGATGTAGATGTTTGTGAAAGATGTTTTCTCTGTTTTGGAGGGATGAGCACTGTTAAATTATGTCATATTTATTGTGTAAAAATTTGAGAATGTTTTACTATAGGTTAGGGGTAGATCATTTTATCAGATGTTTATTAATCATGCAACAGTAAACTACTATACTGTGTACTTAAATACTTTACTGAATGAAATAGACTTCTTCATGGCTAGTGTTTGCTTCTATTTCATTTCATTATGTAACTTACTTGTTCTACAGATCTGTGTGTACTAGTGTTAAATGCTACTGTTTTTGACAAAGTTGATAACATTTCTGACAGATAATTTCATGATATTTTTTGTGTTTGTCTAACCGAATGTGCTATCCTGTCAGCAATAGCCTGTCCGTGGGCTTTTTTGATAACTGTCAGTTTAAGTGCCGAAGATGCAACGTTGCCAGATATTGCTATAAAAACAAATAAAAACAAAAATAATAATAAACCGAAATTATTTCAAATCCTTTGCAAATAAGATAAGATAAAGATATCGCTGACCCTAAACTGAAACTTCCCACTTTATTAACTTTCTAAAGTGTCAAATTAAGTGGAAAATAATTTTCTCTGAAGACTCGTTCACTCTGCCAGCGTCTTGCAGCGATCATTTTCATACCGCGGACGCTAAACATTCTTGCAAACTGTTAAACTGAATTATAAACGCAGACACTCATATGAGGAGTTTTAATTAGCAAACTAGTCATTCAGAGAACAAATTTTTGTTTTGAACGTGAACAATGTACCGAGGTCCGGACCTCAAAGCTGGCTACGGGCCTCGCTGCATTTACCACAATTCGTTAGTTAGCTATAAAAAACAGATGGAGCCTATTTATTGTTAATTATGTATGTCGGAATAAATCTGTCATGAAGACAAGTTTTTTTTTTTTTTTTACGAAAACTACCTTATGTGCAACTGAGTCATATACAAGCATTTCAGTTTTTATTTGATTATATCTGAAAATAAACAGCAGTTGAATAAAACAGTTCAGGCTTTGTTGTAACTTTTAACGTCTTATATTATAGCAATGTGCCAAATGAGAGGGTTCCATGCACAGCATTAGCTGCGAGAGATTTTTTTATTTATTAAAATGTACACTGTTTACTTTGTTAGCACACATTGCTTAAGGTTTTGAGGTGAGCAATTGGGCAAAGAATATTCGGAACCACCCCTTTAGTTTGCTGTGAGCAAAAGACAGAGAGGAGGAGCATTAAAATATTCAGTTTCAGTTGGAAATGTCACAATACTGAAGAAAAGTCGGCAGCAACTTCCAGTTCACCTGGACTTTAAGAAAACCAGGGTATGGGTATCGGCATATGTTATTCTGAATAATTTATCGGTTATCGGCTGAGAAATGTAGTATCGGTGCATCCCAAGTGCTTACAGACTCTGAGGAACCCTCATATCCAACGAAGCATAAACTTCCGTGTCTCTGGCCGCTCCTGCCGTCACCCTTCTGGCTGGATGGACCTCCCGTCTAACCTCGTGAACCTCAGTGGACTGCATTATTTCAGTGTTAAACATCTGGGCGGATGGATGGAGTGCCCGTTTAACCCCTTGAGCCTCCATGGACTGCATTATTTCAGTGTCAACCATCTGCATCGCTCCTTGAGTTTGCAAAGACCCTTTTGGTGGCTGCTTCTCAACAAGAACTACACTCTGGTAGTGCTGCGTTTCACGTTTGGCAGAAGCACCAGACCCCTTCTTCTCCTCCATTAACAGGTTCTCCTGAAGGCCTAGGACTGGGCCGGGCATCACCAGCAGAGATGGCTGGGCTTCCATCACATAAATGGGGGTGGCAGAGGTGTAGTACATCGCAGGCTGCTGGACTAACAGGGTTTGGTTAGGAACCACTACTTTATCTTGGACATAGACTCCTGTTGAAGACATGCTGCTGGTCTGCTGCGCTCCTGCGGTATGAATGATGGCGGATGAGGTTGCTTTCTCCTGAGACTGTAAATGACTAACTGACTCTTGTATGTTGACATCTTTGTGTGTGGTGGAGAGGACCGGTTTGGAGGTCACAGGGACGGTCGTGCTGATTTCAGCCTTTATTGTCGAACCACTACAGATCTCAGCCAGTGTCTTGAACTTTATATCAAGGTCATCAAGAAAAGCAAAGTCATTTTCTTCGTGTAAGAGACCACAGATGTCCTCAAATGAGCCCTTGTATGATTCCTGACCCTCGTAGTCATAGATCTTTAGACTTTCTCCTATGTCTTGCTTCTTAGCCACATGACTTGCTTTCTGTAGTAACACAGGAAATAATGTTGCATTTATTGATTCAGAAACCCTTGACCCATTCATATACACCAGTGACCCAAAAATACATTTTTAGTAAATATTTCTAACGGTACATACTGTATTGCGGAATTTTCTATCTGTTTTACTGGGGTTTTTTTAGTTTAAAGGTCAAGTTTAAACATATCAGTCTGGTCTTTAATCCTCATAATGCATTCAAAATCTGTATGCTATTTTCACATTATATTTCCGTTTGGACCTGAAGAATCGTTATAAATCGTTTATAAAATAGTCATAGTATTTTCCAACGAAAACCATATTGTATCTGATTAACAACTTCTAATTAATAAGTGATTGTGAAAAAAAATCAGTTTTGAATGTTACCATGTTATTACCATGTTATTACTGCATTTACCTATATATAATTGTATGAAATTTATAAGGACTAATCTAAGCATTATTATGTGTATATATATATATATAACAGTCGTATTGTGAATTGGAATGAATGAAATTGAATTCAATTCCTTTGAATTTATAACTCATAATTACTCAATTTCAGATGAAAAAAGTCATACATTGTTCATGTCGCAATGGTTCATCAATGGGCATAAATATTAATATACATATGCATGCATACATATTCAAAATTCCGTTCCAAAATTGTGAGATATGGGGTAAAATATATTTTACACTAATATAACTTCATGAATAATTTTACAAAAAATATTTTTGACACCGATGGTGCTCCATACTTACCTGGGTCCAAAATGACCGGAATGTGAAACGTGTAGCTTTTTTGTGTGTGTGAATGGTTATATCTTTTAAAGAATAATTGTAAAAAAGTTTTGTTCGCTTATTAAAAACTATGTATGATTTAGAAGTTTTTATGTATCTCTTCCAGGTCAAAATGAACTCAAATGCATTATGAGGGTTAACGCTTTCTGTTCTGGTGCTCTTTTATGGCATGCTATGCAAAAGCTTGTTATGTGCACCTGGTATTTGGAGTCTTCTATATGCATTTTGCAATATTAATGTTAATACATAGTCGATTCATTTATTTTGATTACATGATTGATTAATTGTTAGTTTACGTTTAGTTATGAAGATTATGCTGTGTAAAACTGATACTTACTTGAGAATAGTAGTTGCCTAAGAAAGCATCAGACAGTGCAAGCCCGTCAAACATGTTGTCTTCAAATCTGCTGTGTTCTCCTTTTCTTTGTCCAGACACATACCACCCGTCATTCTGGTGAAGATATGCACTGTCATGCTGGTCATAGAACGAGGTCCAGTGTGAGCCTTCTGCTCCACATCCACCATCCTTTACTCCACCCCATATCTTAGCTCCTCCTACAGCGCCCACATTACCGCGCTTGTTGTCCTCCAGCTCCTTTGAAATCTTTAAGATAGCCATGTCCTGGGGGACAGAGTACAGCATGTTTTTATAAGTGCCAAATATGTGTAATCATCTTTGACAAGAAAATAATTTTAGCAAATTACTTCAACCTGATAAGCAACTGCAACACAATACATTAAAGTTCAGCAGTTTGACCAATATGGATTAAAGCAACATGCATGATAGAAATGAAAGACAATAAACTTACTACTATCTACTAAAAATAAAAAATCAACACTTTAGACCACCAGAACCAAAAACCCCATTAGTGATATTGGACAAATTCTAAACTTGGACCCTGTTAACTGCAGTTGTTTATTATTTATTCTAGTCATTTATTATTTATTATATTAGGTTTACATTTCTTGTGCATTTTTGTGTTGAGTAAAGAGTGCAGCAGAAAACTACACTGTTAAGCACACAAACTGCTACATCTGTTATTACACACGTGCCTATAGGCTATTTATTTATTTATGGGACAAAGACGAAAATGGGTTTTCAAGTATCAAAACAACTAAAGATTAATGCTGCTTTAATTTTTTTTCCCATATCAGTCTTTTTTTCCATTACCAATCTTTGTCACTGTCCTTCAAACCACATTTACCCATTTGTCAGCAAGAGGTTTTTAATTATTTAAAATACGATCAAATGTAGTACAATCACTTGTTAATATATATATATATATATATATATATATATATATATTAACAAGTGATTGTACTACATTTGATCGTATTTTAAATAATTAAAAACCTCTTGCTGACAAATGGGTAAATGTGGTTTGAAGGACAGTGACAAAGATTGGTAATGGAAAAAAAGACTGATATGGGAAAAAAAATTAAAGCAGCATTAATCTTTAGTTGTTTTGATACTTGAAAACCCATTTTCGTCTTTGTCCCATAAATAAATAAATAGCCTATAGGCACGTGTGTAATAACAGATGTAGCAGTTTGTGTGCTTAACAGTGTAGTTTTCTGCTGCACTCTTTACTCAACACAAAAATGCACAAGAAATGTAAACCTAATATAATAAATAATAAATGACTAGAATAAATAATAAACAACTGCAGTTAACAGGGTCCAAGTTTAGAATTTGTCCAAATTGAAAACACAAATGCTGCTGATTCTGTCTGTTAAATAAAAACTAACAGTTAAAAAGTTTAGAAATGTTCAGTAACATATGTTTGATATTTTGCATGTGTCCTCCGAATGCTTGTGTTGTTTTGATGTTGTACTGATAAGATACAGGCTAATTAGTCATTATGGGCCACATCCAAAAACAAACAAACAAAACATCTGCTAAAGAGTTAAATGCATCCAAATTCCTTAGAAATGTCTCGTCATTGGCATTTCTAGATGATGCACACCAAAATAGACGTAGATCAGAAAAAGGATGGCAATCATGTTTTTGAATAAATGGAAATTACCATTTGATTTGAGGGAACTGAAGTATTCAGAGGAAAAATTTATTTCTATTCTTCCCTGTACAATTCAAAAGAACTTTAAATTAGCTTTTTATAGTGCTAACGTGTGTGAGTATCACAAAATTTGGTACACAGCCTAATGTACACATTCTAAGTATCCACCAAATTTCATAATGACCAGCTATTACAAATTCAACGGTTTAGGCACTTTAGCCTCTAAACATTAGCTTCTAGACAGTTGCTCTTCAAAAACACTCTAAGAAAAGGCCTCTGGAAGATGTGACGTCATATAATATCTGATTCTGAACTTCAAAAATCAGTCTGTGTTAAAATTCTGCCTTGTACTGTAGTGTCACATACCTTGTCCTCCCCCTGTCCTTCAGTGTTATACGAGATAAGATGCTCTCTAGCATCAAACGGCATGGTCTTGAAATCTCCCGCAACTCCTGCACCTCCACAAAGACAGAAGAGCAGCAGAAGCGGCACCACTGCAAACACAGTCAACATCAGTCATCAGTGTTCTCTGAGCACTGCATCAGTAAACATCTTCCACAACCACACACAATCCATTCATATAGGGCCATGCAACAACAGCAAACTAAATTTTAAATATACTAACATGTTTTACTTGTAATATGTAAACTGTATGCATATGTGTACTTAAGATTTCATAATCCAGGATCTTTACATGGAGGACCAGATGTAATCAGTATTTTGATCTTAATCTCAAAGCAATATCTGCTTAATGAAGATTATACTATATATATATATATATATATATATTTATTTATCTGGGCAAAATATATTTTAAATATATGTTGTAAACAATAAAGTTACTTTTTTTTTTTTAAATGAAAAAAATATTTAGTTTCAACCTTCATATACCAGAATACATTTCAAAATGCATTTCAAAGGCAAGAAAATAAATTTTTAACCTTACAGTAGAATACATTTTGGCTAAAATGCACATTTGGATAAAATAGCCTACTACAGATCAAAACTAGATTTATAATGGTTCATTACTGTTAATACATTTTTTAAATAAAATTATTCAAATGTGTTATTGTCAGGGATACTCCAGCCTCATCAGACCCAATCACTCTACTTCGAGATGCAGCCTCAGGCCTTCACCAACGATCGCTCCAAGATCGCGTTTATGATCTCCCATCTAGCAGGATGCGCTCTTCAGTGGGCACAATCCATTTGGAATTCCAACAGCCCCGCTATTTACACTCTAGCAGCCTTTACATCACATTTCAAAGAGGTGTTCGGTCACTCCGCCACGGAGATCTCCGTCCATGATAAGCTTTTCCGCATCAGTCAGGGCAAGGCATCTGTGAGTGAGTATGCTGTCAAATTTGGCACCCTAGCGGTGACTGGTGGCTGGAATGAGGTGGCCTTACTAACCGCGTTTCGTCAAGGGCTCAACACAGACATTCGATTACATATGATGATTTATGATGACACGGTTGGCCTGGAAAGCTTCATTCAGAAAGTCATCAAGATCTCTCAGCATTTATATGCTTGCAAGGATGTCCTGCCACTCTCTTCACTGACCTCAACCACCTCATCGCCTCCAGCACCAGAGCCTATGCAAGTTGACTCATATCATCTCACCCGTGTGGAGCGCAACCAGAGGATGACTTCTGGACTCTGTCTGTACTGTGGAGCTAACGGACACTTGATTAATTCCTGCCAGGTCCGACCAGCATGCCCAGCGGTGAGTACCATCCAGCTCAGTCCTCAAATAGCAACCCTGACTCGCATGAGTGTATCATTAATTTAATCTCACCAATCCCTTTCAGCGCATGCCCTCATAGACTCTGGCTCCTCTGGAAACTTAATCTCGCTGGCCACACTACAACGGCTATGGCTCAAACCTCAGAAACATGCTCAAGTCTTGAATATCCTCATCATCCAGGGAAAACCACTGGGCCGTGGCAAGATTAGTTTATGCTCTTCCAACATTATGCGTCGCATTGGGTGCCGTCATGAGGAGCTCCTCTCCTTTCTGGTGCTGGAGGATTCCACCATGGAGGTCGTCCTGGGACGCCCGTGGCTGGCCCTTCATTCTCCTATCATTAACTGGAATAATAACGAAGTTCTCCACTGGAGTGAGTACTGTCTTCAGAACTGCCTGACCAAAATTTCTTCTCCACAATCTCATCTCCTTCCAGTCTTTGCCACCAATATTGAGAGTCCTAAACCGTAGGAGTTTCCTACCATCCCTTCAGAATACCGGGCGTACCAGGATGTATTCAGTAAGCAGGCTGCCACGGAACTACCACCTCACCGGCCATGGGATTGTGCCATCGATCTGTTGCCTGGAGCTCAACTCCCCAAGGGTAGAGTTTACCCATTGTCCATCCCAGAGCAAAGAGCTATGGAGGAGTACATTGAGGAGGCTCTCCAACAAGGCTTCATCCGTCCCTCGACCTCACCGACTGCGTCCTCTCCTTTCTGGTGCTGGAGGATTCCACCATGGAGGTCGTCCTGGGACGCCCGTGGCTGGCCCTTCATTCTCCTATCATTAACTGGAATAATAACGAAGTTCTCCACTGGAGTGAGTACTGTCTTCAGAACTGCCTGACCAAAATTTCTTCTCCACAATCTCATCTCCTTCCAGTCTTTGCCACCAATATTGAGAGTCCTAAACCGTAGGAGTTTCCTACCATCCCTTCAGAATACCGGGCGTACCAGGATGTATTCAGTAAGCAGGCTGCCACGGAACTACCACCTCACCCGCCATGGGATTGTGCCATCGATCTGTTGCCTGGAGCTCAACTCCCCAAGGGTAGAGTTTACCCATTGTCCATCCCAGAGCAAAGAGCTATGGAGGAGTACATTGAGGAGGCTCTCCAACAAGGCTTCATCCGTCCCTCGACCTCACCGACTGCGTCCAGCTTCTTCTTTGTGCGCAAAAAGGACAGAGGCTTGCGGCCTTGTATCGATTACTGTTCCCTCAATTCTCAAACAGTCAAATACCCGTATCCCCTTCCGCTGGTGCCGGCTGCGCTGGAGGAACTACGTGGAGCTCGCATCTTCTCCAAGCTGGACCTGCCGTCATCACTCCCACCGGACACTCTGAATACCTCGTTATGCCGTATGGATTATCCAACTCACCTTCTGTCTTCCAAGGGTTTATGAATAAGGTGTTTCAGGAGTTTCTCCATCACTTTGTGATTGTGCACATCGATGACATCCTCATATACTCCAGGAACCTGGCCTAACATTGGCATCACGTGGAGCAGGTCCTTCAGAAGCTGAGGAAATACCACCTTTACCTCAAGCTGGAGAAGTACAAGTTCCAATGCACCACCACCAATTTCCTCGGCTATGTTATCAGTCCCCAGGGCATCCAGATGGATAACAACAAGGTGCAAGCCGTTCGAAACTGGCCTCAACCCAAGACCTTTAAGGAACTTCATCGCTTTCTGGGATTCTCCAACTTCTACCGCCGCTTCATTCATCATTACAGTCTCATCACAGCTTCTCTAACCTCCATGCTCTGTAACAAGCCCAAGTCTCTGTCCTGGACACCTGATGCCCTCAAGAATTTTGCTAAAGGAAGCCTTTTGCACCGCTCCTACCCTTGTCCACCAGGACCCTCAGTGGCTGTTTGTCATTGAGGTCGACGCGTCCACAGTAGGAGTAGGAGCGGTGCTATCACAACGTTTCGGAGAGCCTCCAGTCCTCCATTCCTGTGCATACTTCTCCCATAAGCTTTCCCCGGCGGAGCAGAACACTGAATGAAGAAATCTGCTAAGCCACTCAGTCAGAACCTGCTGTGCCATCACCAAGTCTCCCCATCATCTGCCACAAGAAAAACTGGTACCGCTTCCCATACCACGCCGGCCCTGGTCCCACATCGGAGTCGACTTTGTCACCGACCTCCCTGAATAGGAATCTTACACCTGTATCCTTGTTGTCGTCGACAGATTCTCTAAGGCGTTTAAACTTCTCCCTCTCAGAGGATTACCCACCTCCATGGAGACCGCGAAACAGCTATTCCAACTTCGGTATTCCTGAAGATATCGTCTCCGATTGTGGGCCCCAATTCATCTCCCGGGTCTGAGGGGCCTTCTTCCAACTCTTAGGAGTCTCCATAAGCCTGACCTCTGGATACCACCCGCAATCTAATGGCCAGACTGAGCGAAAGATCCAGGAGATTGGGAGATATCTTCGCAGCTACTGCCATAACAGCCAGAACTGCTGGAGCCATTACCTTCCCTGGGCCAAGTATGCACAAAACTCCCTCCGGCAGAACACTACTGGCCTCACACCCTTCCAGTGTGTACTCGGCTTACAACTTCCCCTTTTCCCATGGACCAGAGAGCCATCTGAGGTTCCAGCGGTCGATCACTGGTTCAGAGAGAGCAAGAGGGTATGTGATTCGGTGCATGTTCATCTCCAGCAGGCAGTTCGGAGACACCAGATCCAAGCGAACGTTCGTCGCCTACCTACTCCGCAATACCAACCTGGAAATAAGGTTTGGCTGTCCACATGGGACATCCGTCTTCGACTGCCTTGCCGCAAGCCGAGTCCCCGCTATATTGGCCCGTTCACCATCAGGTATTTACCATATGGGTAAATCAGCAAAAAATAAATAAATAATAATAATACTCAATAATAAAGTAATTGATAATAAACATAACAGAAAATTAATTTCCTTAACGATTAGTTGAGAAAATTAGCCAGTAACATTACTTTAAAGTATTTAAAAATGCATTTTTAAGAACACCGAACAGCACATACTGACAGAAAGAGAGCTTCAGTGTTTGCACTCACACAGAAGCAGCAGCAGTCCCAGCAGCATTAGAAGAACACCAGATGCTCCAAACGTGGAGACGGTCTTTTGGGGCATGCAAACTTTAGCTGCGTCACACGTGCAGATGTCTATCTGAAGCTCCTGACTAGCACAGATCTTCCCCTGCTGGTCCCACACGTCCACAAACACATGGTACATGCCAGGCCACAGTGTTTTTTGAGACCTGAATATCGCTGTAGTGCCTGAAAATATGATTTAATAGAAAAAGAATATGACGTAAGCAAGATTGACACATGATGAATGACCTGTTTTCAAGACCTAAATCCAATACTAAAATTGAATCGAACTATTTTTTTTCTACAGTGTAAAAAATGTCAAGGTGACTCAACTTGCTGTAGTAACTAACTGCACACCCTCATTAACTTCACCATCTTAAGCCCTATTTGGATGTAAGATGGGGTAATGTGATAATTACCAGAGCTTCTCCATGAATGTAATACTGTCTAAAACTGTGCATTCTTGTGCTCAACGATTAGTGTATTTCACTTTCAATAAAACATCCTGAAAAAGTAACCTCAGGCTGGTAAACAATCGAAGCGGTTGATGCTCAGCCTGTCAGACCTTTCAATATCTATGTGTCTCAACTGCTCCAATTGTTTGGAGCAGAAGTTGGTAAAAGAAAAGGCACCAGAAAATGAAATGAGGGGTATAAATATATAGTAAAGCATTAAAACATGAGTATGTTATAAGCAAAATGCATTAAAATGGCATTCTTATGCACCCTGGATGCCTCCACCGATACCACTGGAAATGCACAAAAATACTATTTTCATCTTTTACATGAAAAATATATTTTCCAAAACATGTTTTACTCTAAAACTGTGAACAAATCAAAGGCATAAACCTAAACAAGTTGTGTTCCAAATTGAGGTTGATATCTTAAAAAATTAACTTTCAGTATTATTTTGTTTGGACGAATGAAATAAAAAAGGGTTGATGGTGCATTCAAGTCATGTCGATTTGATCATGATCAAATTTATGAACTGAAAACATATGAACGCCACCACAAAATTGTAAGTGAGAAAACATGTCGGACACAATAGATGCAGCATCTTTACTGACAGTAAATTTTCTGAAAATAATAAAAAATAATTATTTTGTTGTCGCTGTTATTATTATTAAATAAGTGTTTAATCACTGGTTCAGAGAGAGCAAGAGGGTATGTGATTCGGTGCATGTTCATCTCCAGCAGGCAGTTCGGAGACACCAGATCCAAGCGAACGTTCGTCGCCTACCTACTCCGCAATACCAACCTGGAAATAAGGTTTGGCTGTCCACATGGGACATCCGTCTTCGACTGCCTTGCCGCAAGCCGAGTCCCCGCTATATTGGCCCGTTCACCATCAGGAGGCAGATCAACAATGTCACCTACAGGCTTGATCTTCCATCTCTCTACCGTATAGCACCTACCTTCCACGTATCTCTGCTCAAGCCTTGCACTAATCCTCTGTCTCCTTCTCCCTCAGGGTCTGACGAAACGGACGTACCTCCTCCTCCCGAGATCGATGAGAAGGAAACCATCTACCGAGTCAACACCATACTGGACTCCCGGCATCAAGGTGGCCGCCTAGAATATCTCATCGACTGGGAGGGATTCGGCCCCAAGGAAAGGTCATGGGTGCCTAGAGACAATATCCTGGACCCGTCATTCCTAATTAATTTCCATACCCTCCATCCCGATCATCCTGCACCCAGGGGCCACAGCCGTCCTCGACGGTACTGTCAGGGATACTCCAGCCTCGTCAGACCCAATCACACCTAATCAAGACTAGCTCTAATACACCATCACTTCAGTTGCACTTTGTCTGGTCTTGAGTTCACTACGCTACTCCTTACCGGTCTCACCTACCTAGATAGTTACCTGTAGTCACCTGTCTGCAGTCAGCATTAACTGTCCTCCTTCTTTTTTCCTGGAAAGAGATCCAAAGAACTATTATCCACCTGAGCAAAGTCCAGTTTCTCACATTGACTTTGATTGACTCACCTGTTGATTCCACATCACCTCACTCTGCTCCAAGCTGTTAATAAAGAAATTTAACTTACCTGTCTGTCTCATCGAGGTTTTCTTCTGTGTTGTGACAGTTTTATGCTCACACATGTTATAGACAACAAATAGTTTTTTTCTACAAATGTGAAATATATTTTCTTAGATTGGAAATATATGGAGAACAAAATGCATTTTAAATGCTTTTAAATAATACATTTTTTAAATATATTTTCAAAAATATACAAAATGGACAAAAATATATTATAATATTATAAAATATACATTTATGTAAATACCTTTTTACCATTTTTTAAAAATCTATTTATTCAGTCTTTATAACTCTCTCTCTCTCTCTCTGTCTATATATATATATGTATTTACCATATGGGTAAATCAGCAAAAAATAAATAAATAATAATAATACTCAATAATAAAGTAATTGATAATAAACATAACAGAAAATTAATTTCCTTAACGATTAGTTGAGAAAATTAGCCAGTAACATTACTTTAAAGTATTTAAAAATGCATTTTTAAGAACACCGAACAGCACATACTGACAGAAAGAGAGCTTCAGTGTTTGCACTCACACAGAAGCAGCAGCAGTCCCAGCAGCATTAGAAGAACACCAGATGCTCCAAACGTGGAGACGGTCTTTTGGGGCATGCAAACTTTAGCTGCGTCACACGTGCAGATGTCTATCTGAAGCTCCTGACTAGCACAGATCTTCCCCTGCTGGTCCCACACGTCCACAAACACATGGTACATGCCAGGCCACAGTGTTTTTTGAGACCTGAATATCGCTGTAGTGCCTGAAAATATGATTTAATAGAAAAAGAATATGACGTAAGCAAGATTGACACATGATGAATGACCTGTTTTCAAGACCTAAATCCAATACTAAAATTGAATCGAACTATTTTTTTTCTACAGTGTAAAAAATGTCAAGGTGACTCAACTTGCTGTAGTAACTAACTGCACACCCTCATTAACTTCACCATCTTAAGCCCTATTTGGATGTAAGATGGGGTAATGTGATAATTACCAGAGCTTCTCCATGAATGTAATACTGTCTAAAACTGTGCATTCTTGTGCTCAACGATTAGTGTATTTCACTTTCAATAAAACATCCTGAAAAAGTAACCTCAGGCTGGTAAACAATCGAAGCGGTTGATGCTCAGCCTGTCAGACCTTTCAATATCTATGTGTCTCAACTGCTCCAATTGTTTGGAGCAGAAGTTGGTAAAAGAAAAGGCACCAGAAAATGAAATGAGGGGTATAAATATATAGTAAAGCATTAAAACATGAGTATGTTATAAGCAAAATGCATTAAAATGGCATTCTTATGCACCCTGGATGCCTCCACCGATACCACTGGAAATGCACAAAAATACTATTTTCATCTTTTACATGAAAAATATATTTTCCAAAACATGTTTTACTCTAAAACTGTGAACAAATCAAAGGCATAAACCTAAACAAGTTGTGTTCCAAATTGAGGTTGATATCTTAAAAAATTAACTTTCAGTATTATTTTGTTTGGACGAATGAAATAAAAAAGGGTTGTGAACAAATCAAAGGCATAACCTAAACAAGTTGTGTTCCAAATTTGAGGTTGATATCTTAAAAAATTAACTTTCAGTATTATTTTGTTTGGACGAATGAAATAAAAAAGGGTTAATGGTGCATTCAAGTCATGTCGATTTGATCATGATCAAATTTATGAACTGAAAACATATGAACGCCACCACAAAATTGTAAGTGAGAAAACATGTCGGACACAATAGATGCAGCATCTTTACTGACAGTAAATTTTCTGAAAATAATAAAAAATAATTATTTTGTTGTCGCTGTTATTATTATTAAATAAGTGTTTAATCTGCATTTGAATCCTTTTTCGCCTTATGTCTGAGTTCACCTGGCTTTACAGCCAGTTACTTACTGATGCTTTCTATTGCACCTAAATGCAACGCTTACGTGACGCTTCCTTCATGCATCAGTATCTACAGCATCATTCTCATGAAGAGATTATGAAGTGCTGTATCTCGGTTTACAAACTCAATTCTGTAGCAAAAGTCCATTTTTCACTGTACCATATTTTTATGGATCCTTGAGCTTCGAATATGGGACAAAACAGATATATGAGCCAAGCATGAATGTCAGTTATGCTTATTTCAAGTCTGCATTTCTCCGTAATTCTCTAATATCTCATGGCCTTGACATATTATCACATCCCCATGAGTTCCTATACTGTATCTTGGCTTTAACAGTCTATGACGTTTCCACAAGTTAATGTGATGTGGCCAAAAGAAGTTACAATTAATTACCATTGAGAGGCTCGATGCTCCATGACTCCTTTGTGCTTATGGTGTCCACTTTGAAACCAAAGGGTGCTCCATTGGGGAACTGATCTTTGTCCACAGCCGTGACATAAACCACTTGATCCTCATAGCACAGCGTTTGAGACTGATGGCTCAGCACAGGACAGTGGTCATTAAAGTCTTTTACTTGAACGGCAATGGTTCCTGTTGCAGTTTTAGCCGGGGTATCTGTAACAGAAATGGCAGCACATGAAACTATACATTTTGAAACTCTTTTGCTTTTTTTATAAGTGCTTTTAATAATATCTGTTGCCAATTCTAAGGAGTTTTACATACAAACCACCAATGCTGGGTAGATTAAGTCTGTTACTGATTACAAATTACATGATGAAAACTGTAGTAAATAACATAATCTGGATTACACATATGTAGTGAGTACATATAATTTGGATTATGTAATCAGATTCCAAAATCCAGATTATATGTACTCAGTTACTACCCAGCACTGCATATCATAAAATGTAATAGCCTATCACCACAGGCTCACTTACCATTAGTGATGCATATTATCTGAGCGCAATATGTGCCATTGATCAGAAACTTGGACTCATAATCTGGTATTTTATTTAGTCTTATATCAGCCATCCTCTCATCTATAATCAACCAGTTGTCAACATCTCGTCCTTTTGCATACCTAAAATTAAATAAATGAATAGTTTTATTTCAACAGCTGAACAAAACCACATCCTTTAGTATGTTTGTAGAATTTCTGTAGTCTCACCTCACGTTATTAGCAATTAGTAGCGTATCGCTGTCTATTGCTGCGTAATTGGTAATGACTTTATGTAAAATAGTGCTGGTGCTTTCTTCAGAGATGGTGATGACTTTGACAGCGGGTTTGAAGCGAGGGCCCTCAGGCTGGTTGACCACACTGACATGGATGCTGTATGTCTTGCTCTCTGTTATGACTACTGAAGAGTGATACTGTGCCTTGTTAGCAACAGACACCTGCAGCTTGATTTCCTTCAGCTCTTCGTAGTCCAGCTCCTGTAAAAGCAAACAAAGGGTGAAAAGCAGGAAACGGGGGATGCAGGAATGTAGGAGACTTCCTGCTGGACATTTGAAGTATCAAACACACACACACACATTTATTCCTGTTCCTGAAGGTCCACTTATAAAGAATTTTACATCAAAAGTAGTAATCATTTAGAAATAAAGGGTCATTTCCTACCCTGTTTTTGTATCTTTGTTTTGAACACTATTTAAAGGGGCGTGTTTCTTTTAATCCTCAAATAAAATGCCCACTGCATTGATTGGGTAACATGCTTGCTTCTGAAATAATAAAACTATACAGTGAACCACGATTATGATTACAGTTTCTGAGATCAATTAATTGTGATACAATAATAGTAAAAACTGCAACACGTTTAGGGTCAGATTTACTAATAGCTTGCGCCAGCGCAAACTGTCTTTTGGTGTTAAAATGGTATTGTGAGGATTTACTAAAGACGCGCAGTGAAGAATTAGTGCTGAAAAGGCATGGACAGAATATGCAATTGTAGGAGTTTCCCTTTCAGGTGCTAAATTTATGGGAGGAGAGTATTCGAGTGAATCACGCAAAGAGAATTAAAGGGTTAGTTCACCCAAAAATTTAAATTAGCCCATAAATGACTCAAGTCATCCTAGGCGTATATGACTTTCTTCTTTCAGATGAATCCAGTCGGAGTTATATTAAAAATGGTCTTTGATCTTTCAAGCTGAAAAATTGTCTTTGATCTTTCAAGCTGTTTAATGCCACTCAGCGGGTGTTGCATACATTAGTCCAAAAGAAGTTAAATAAAAAGTGCCCATCCATAAAAAATGTATCTCACACGGCTCCGGGGGGTGAACAAAGGCCTCCTGTAGCGAATCAATGCGTTTTTGTAAGAAAAATATCCATATTCAAAACGTAATAATCACTTTAATGTAGCTTGCGCCAACAGTTGTACACGGAAGCAGCTCCGGGCGGATGATGTATGAGGTCTGCTTTGCGCATGTAAATGTAAATCACCAGCAGAAATTTACACGCCCATGAATTTTGTTGATGAACATGAATATGTATGTCTATTGACAAACCACTGCAGAATGAAAAACTGATCACTTTTATCATCTGAAAGGCAAAGTTTATGCAACAATTTATTTAGTTTGAAAACTTTAATATTGATGATGTTTTGACATTGTTTTGTTAGAAATAAATATATAGGATTCATATATTTGGACTGTTTTTGAGCAATCGTGAGTTATAAATTCAAATTAATTTAATTAAAATCCATTCATTCCAATGGGGTTAATACTGGTAATTTTCAGATTATATGTTCCTATAAATGTTATACAATGATTTATTCAAATATCTATCTATCTATCTATC